GGCCCTTGACCTGGTAATATCAGCGAGGGCAACCTATACCACAGCAGTAATTGGAAAGAAAAAAAAAGTCACTTGTCTTTATAAAGTTGAAGTTACGCTCTATTAGTGCTGAAAACTGCTCCTCTGGCTACTGGTTCCTGGACGGATTATGGTGCTGCTGGCCAAATGCAGTATTATAATGAAATGAGGAATGCTAAGCAGGAGAACCGTCGAAGGGCTCTGAGAAATGCTTTTGGAAGATCTCACCACGTGCAGTACTGTATCCTACACTGAAGAGGGGCAGTGGGGGAAAACGGTGCCGGCATTAGTTCCTTGGTTATGATAACTGAACCATAATTATGAAGATGCTACTCTTGGGGAAGCCGAAGCTAAGGGCATAGGAAAACTCTGACTTGAGCACTCTTCCATAAACCCATAATAATAATTTCACACACACACACAATCTATTGCCATCAACTACAAAAAAAACTCATTGTATAAGAATTGGGTAGGCTTGAAAAAAATGTTCAGAATCACAAAAGCACGTGGATCTTTGGGGGAATGCATATGCGCATGCATGCATATGCATGTTCATGCAAGTATATACATGTGTGGACGTGTGTATGCATGTGAGTATATGCACACAAGTGTGTGTGGACATGTGTGTATGCATGTGAGTATATGCACACAAGTGTGTGTGGACATGTGTGTATGCATGTGAGTATATGCACACAAGTGTGTGTGGACATGAGTGTGCATGTGAGTATATGCACACAAGTGTGTGTGGACATGTGTGAGTGCATCTGAGCCCATGTGCACGCACAGTATATGTGTGCATGTGTGGCTACTCTGTGTTTAAGGTTTCGCTGCTTAGCCAGAGCCTTCCCTGAGTGAGTGGCTCACAAAGCTAGGAGTCACGGTGTCTGGAGGGGGCAGAAGCGCCCCCGTGCTGCAGAGTGAACGGCCCTGCATTTCTCTGCATGCAAGGACTGTCTGGGGCGTAGGGAGGGCACCTCCTATCCTCCGGCCATAACCTTCGTAGCCATCATTCCTCATGGACTTCTGCTTGGCTGTTTGCCCACAGCTTCCAAGGATTCATGCTACACAACACCAACAGGCAAAATCCCAACTTCTCAGGACCTCCATCTACCTGGAATATTGCCGAGGCCACGGACCACGTCACTAGGCGGTGGCCCCTATGTAACGCTTGTTTTCTCTGGTCAGCCTTGGGAGCCCCGGCTGGAGCCTCACGGCCTGGATTCAAACCCTGGCTCTGGCCTTTGACTGCCCCTGGCTGCACACTTGGCTTTGTGCCCCAGCCCACGCGGCCCTTCTGTGGAGATGAGTCAACAGAACGAAAGCCCTGCAAAAGGAACCACTCCACGCACTAGTCCATCATGACAATGACTTTATAAGGTAGCTCAAGGGAAAGCTTACGTTCCAGAAAGATCTGGAAGGCTGTGCCTTGGGCACAGCGTGATTTATATCAAGCAGGTTCCTGAAGTCTTTCCCTCTTCCCGACACACTTGTGGGTCACAGATACCCACCCTGACTTCCCACAGCAGGGGAGACCTGCAGAACCTTCAGTGAGGGGGCCAGCGCTGTGGTGTAACGGATAAGGCTGCCGCCTTCTATGCCGGCATCCCATATGGGAGCTGGTTCGAGACTTGACTGCTCCACTTCTGATCCAGTTGTCTGCTATGGCTTGGGAAAGCAGTGGAAGATGACCCAAGTATTTGGGCCCCTGCACCCATGTGGGAGACCTGGAGGAAGGCCCTGGCTCCTGGCTTCGGATTGGCGCAGCTCCGGCCATTGCAGCCATCTGGGGAGTGAACCAGCGGATGGAAGACCTCTCTCTCTGTCTGCCTCTCCTTCTCTCTGTGTAACTATGAGTTTGAAGTAAAATAAATAAATCTTAAAAAAAAAAAAAACCTTCAGTGGGGGTTGAATGGCAGGTTAGAAGCACGTGCAGGTTGCAAATGTCCTTTTGAGGTTCTGATATGCCCTTCTGTGCCATTCACCCCAAGAATCCTTGATGGAAATACAGATGCTCTTTGACTTACAACAGGGCTGTACTGCAAGAGACGCATCCTAAGTAGGAAATACTTTAGGCGGAAAACGCACTGGCTACACCCAACCTATGGAAGACCACAGCTCTGAGAGCATTGGTTCCCTCCCCTGGAGATGGCAGGGCTGACCGGGAGCTGGGGGTGTGGCTGCTCAGACAGGGGCGGGGCTGCACACTGCTGGCCCAGGGAAGGGGCAGGATTCTAAGTCTCAGGTGTGGTTCCTGTTAAATTCACAGTGCTCTCACACCACTGAAAGGTCAAAACATTGTAAGTCGAATCACTGTAAGCTGGGGACAGCCTACTGTCACCAGGAGGCATTAAAAAATAAAACTACCTGCAGGCCAACTGTGCACCTGGCAAACCCTCTTCTGAAAAGCCGTGGTTTCATCCTCTCCCCGGGCTGATCTTGCCTTTCCCTGGGGACTGTCCCAGCCCCAGTGGATGCATGGGCTGTTCCCTTACATGTGTTGTGCCTTTTTGGCAAAACATTTGTTCTTAGGCTTCTCAGATCTTCCTAGTGTCACAAAGTAGGATATAAACAAACAATGCGGCACACATACTTAGGCTGCTGAGAACTAAGCACAGCTTCAGTAACTTAGGAAGAAGCTGAGCCTCCTTCACAGACACAAGTTCCCAGGTGTCGATAGAACAGGAGGGCTCAGCAGGCAATGCAGCTGGGCGGGAAGGAAGAGGAAGCCCCACCCATCAACGCAAGTGCCACATGAAAATGAAACACGCTGGGGCCGGCACTGTGGTGCAGTGGGTTAAGCCGCCATCTGCAGCACCAGCATCTCGTATGGGCACCCACGTGAGTCCTGGCTGCTCCACTTCTGACACAGCTACCTGCCATTGCACCTGGGAAGGCAGTGGAATGTTTGGGCCCCTGCACCCATGTGGGGGACCCAAAAGAGGCTCTTGGCTCCTGGCTTTGGCCTGGCCCAGCCCTGGTAGCTGTGGCCATTTGGGAAGTGAACCAGCGGATGGAAGATCTCTCTCCTCTCTTTCTGTTTCTTCCTCTCTCACTGTGGCTCTTTCAAATAAATAAATATGCACAAATACAGAGGCCCTTGTACAAAAAGCGGGGAAATGCAATAAAAGGTAGTAAAACAAACTTCTTTTTTTCTCTTCTGCATTCTCTCTCTTGACTTAAGGTGTCTAAAATGCTGCTTCAGGCCGGCAGGGGTTCAAGCCCCAGCCTGCGGCACTAGCAGCCCATATGAGCAACAGCTGGTGTCCCACCTGCCCCGCTTCCCATCCAACTCCCTGCTAATGCACCCGGGAAGGCAGCGGATGATAAGCCAAACGCTTGGGCCTCTACCACCCACATGGGAGACCCAAATGGAGTTTCAGGTTTCTGGCTTCAGCCTGGCCCAGCCCTAGTCCGTTGTGGTTATTTGGGGAGTGAACCAGACAGATCTCTCTGTCTCTCCCTCTCATTCTATAACTCTGCCTTTCAAATAACTAAATAAATCTTAAATAAAGTAAAATAAAAAGGAAAGACCAAGTTAATGCTAAAATTCAAAGGACATATTCATTTAAAAAACTGCTCTTTTGTGTCATGCTGCCTCAGGCACGGGGATCCCAGGTCCTGGTGCCCACACCAACCACTGGCTTCCGGGATTCCCTCTCCCACCAGCTGCCAGGCCAACACATCCTGTGTCAGGCAGGGGCAAAGAAATCAAGCCAGGAATTCCCCATTCCTGTGGGCCCAGGACCACAACCCAGGGCAGACGGGTGACCCACAGTGTCTGCTAGCTAGGCGGGGGTGGGACTCCCCCAGGCACCTGCTTTGAACACAACAGAGTGCCTCTGGCTCAGGCTGGGCTGACTGCTCCCACACCCAGGTCGGAGGCACCATGGGGCACGGGTGCCTGACCCCTCGCTTCCCTGTACTCATGCCCAGTAGGCAGGAGGCTGTGAGAATCCCTGCGTAAGGGCAGAGATGGGGAGGTGTGCAAAGTTGGGGGTCCCAGGGAGGTGGTGGGACTGCACGAGCCAAGCCTCCAATGCCATGGGGGTGGCCTCTGTTGTCCCCCGGGACCTCTGGACCTCACTTCTCAAACAGGGCTGCCTTCCAGATCCTTGTGGTCTGTAACCAACCAATCGCGGGCCAGAAATACTCTAAAATGTGGTGCGTCCATCCTGACGGGTGCAGACTTCGGTCTGCCATTCATCCCCTACACTGTAGGAATTCAGCAAAAGAACTGTTCACACTGCACTTACATGGCATTAGGGGTTCTAGACAATTAGAGACGATGGGATGCATACAGGAGGACGTGCACAGGTTATACACAAACACTGCACCATTCAGAGAAGGGTCTGGAGCCTCTGTGGATGCTGCTATCCTTGGGGGACCCTGGAACCAACCCCTCATGCACACCAAGGACTGACAAAGGCAAAGATGACTGAGCATTCCAACCTCCCCCGGCATGGAATCCCCAGGCACAGGGCCCGGCCCAGGTGTGGCCCTGCAGAACCGCACTGGCCACGTGCCCATCACTGGCCCTGCCAGCACCACCACAAGGCCAGAAACGAAACGGAGTCCAGTCTGCCCTTGCCTGACGTCGTCCCACCTCTGACTCCAACCTGAGCTGGTGGCAGGCATGCAACATCGCTTCACCCGGCACGGGTGCGGCTGCTCTGGCGCAGGTAGAAGCGAGGGGTCTCGCTCGTTTGAACAGAAATTCTGTCTCACTGCATTGCACAAAGCACTGATGTAGTGACACACAGGCAGAGACGTGCTGGTTACAGAAATCCCCCCCAAACCTAACGCGGCCTAGAGATCTTCTTAAAGTGTCGAGGAGATTAATTAGGAAAGAGAGAAGATCAAGGGGTAATTACTTAATAAGTGGCTCTAGGTTGATAGTTTGTAAAAACCGGGCCATTCTCCAAAGTCATTACTTTGATGCAAGAATGAAACCTGGGCACTGAGAGTACGTTCATCTCACAAACCTTGGCTTCTGGGTCACTGTTGATACTACAGGAATCATCGTCGTCAGAATGAGGGGCGTTTCTGGAAAGAAAAACAGACACCTGGCTTAGAATGCCACCGCAGACTCCAGCAGTGCAAAGCCACTGGGCAGGGACCAGCCTTAGAATGTCCTACCTGAGTTTCAAAGATGCATAGCGTAGCGTCGCTCCTTCAAACTCTTTTAAGCTGGGGTCTGGGTGAACGGTGGCCGCGTGCAAATCCTAGAGGAAGACAGGGCCAGTTAACGTGCAACGCAGGAGGGGCCCTTCCGGCATCTCAAATACCAAAGGGGCGAGAAGCCTTCCCAGCGAGAGGCGGAGAGTGGATGTGAGCTCAGGCGGCAACAGGCATGCAGGGGCTGCTGGGAGCGGACCGGGTGCAAGCGCCCGCTCTCACGGGAGACAGGGAACTGGCGTGGTCGGCTGGAAGGCAGTCGCCAAGGGGGACATCAGAAAAGGCCACCAGAGTGTGAGCTGGATGCCCCCAGCAAGAAGCCCACTCACTCGGAGCCTGCACAATGCACGAGCTTACAAAGAACACAGAGCCACAGCCATGCAGAGAGGGAAACAGACGATCTCAGGTCCGACAATATACTTGCCTTCCAAATGTCACTATTAATCTTTCCCCCATTCAGAACAGCAAAATCACTCCATGGCTGTTTCTAGACATATAATCATTCACATAGGAAAAAGCACATTGATTTTAAGGAAAAAGAAAAAGAAAACAAAAAAAAAAAAAAACACAAGACACTGTTGTTAGCAGTAATATTCACAGGATGGGTTAGGGAACAAAATAACAGCACCTCCTCAGGCTCACTGCCTCTGACCAGAGCAGGGCACAAGATGGGGCACCTACATCAGTCCCTGAACATCACTCCCGGAATCAACTGGCTGAGCCTTATGGGAAGCTGCTTGCTAAATGCTAACACCCGGCATTCCTCCTGCCACAGGAACCCTCCCCGCTGTTAACCGCATAGCACTGTTCACAGGGGGTGGGGCAGAATGAGGGATGACGCTGTGCTGGCTTGGAGACTGGACAATACAAGATACGGGGGTCAGGTGTTCTTCATGTCAAAGGAGCGGAGGAGGATGAAGGGGAGAGAGGGCTGGTAGGGGCGCAGACAGACCTCAACTTCTTGCTGAAGTTTAACTTAACCAAAAACGGCTCAGAACAACCTAATGTAAATGCCTCCACGCCGTCAAAATCTCCATTTCCTTTTCACACGATTCCCTGAACGTAATAGAGGACAGAGTACGACATCGTCACTCGCTGGGTAGACTCATGCATGACACAAGCCACAGGCCTTCAAAGCTAAACACCCCCTGCCTCCAGGTCAGAGCACGAAGAGGCCTCTCCTACTGTGCAGAGTGATGGAGTCAGCCTTCCGCACCTAGGGCCTCCACACCCCAAGTACTCAAGAGGCGAAGACTGTCTGCCCTGAATCTGTACCCCCGGCCCCCTGCTCTGCTCATGATTTTCATAGCATTCACATTACATCAGGTGTTGTTACTGAGCTAGTGTGCCCAAATACTACACCACTTCACAGAAGGCGCTGGGTACCCAAGGATTTTGGTATCCACTGGGGTCCTGCAACGAACCCCATGGATTCTGATGCTCAAGTATCTTTCACTTTAGTTTTGGAGATATAAATGATGTGAAGAAAACCCAAGGACTAAATGTCTATTTGTCCCATGGACTTATCAGGTCAAACTCTTTCCCTGGTATGCAACAAGGCAATAATGGAACCTTTTCAACTAAGTTACTTTTCAACTGAAGATCTCTGAAAGTGAGAAGTGACTACTGGCCAGCCCATAATTTCTACTCTAAATGTTAAAACAGTCTGTAAAGCCATGAAAAGCAGAAGTGAAGTTCAAGTGTGTCCTATACTGAAAGATACAATGAGGGCAGCTTTCCATGTAGCATGGCAGGTGCCACTTTGCACTGGGTTGGAGGGTAGGCACCTGGGCTGCAGTGTCGTAAAATGGAAAGCATCTAGATCAATGTATTTCTTTTTCAAAATAATGTTTCTCAATGAGGGGAAAAAGAAAAGCATGAACACTAACCAAACCCAACTCCTTACCTCTTCTTACTCTTGCCTCAAAGCAGTGTTCATTCCTCTCCGAGGAGATTACTAACTCGGGAGAGTCAGCCTGCGGGCTCAGGGGAGGCTGCGAACCACAGAATGAGGCGAGACGAGATACAGGTGTGTTTTCCCAGGGAAAAGCTGCCCCACCTTTCTCATGTTTTCCGAGGGGCCAGACACCTAAAGTTTTAGAGCCACCACTGGAGGGGTACTCAGAAGGGCTCATGATAAGGACATCAAATATCGAGTGCAAAATAAAATTTTGAGCCAGAATATCTTTTTTGAAAAAAAGGAAATAGGCTGACATGGCCCCAAAATCGTCCTCACTGGGTACATGTGAGTAATATTTGCTTTCTATTGACATTAAACTTGAAAAGGGAAACCAAAGGATGAATCCAGGATACCAAGGATAAACGTGTTCTTGCGGAGGGAGACATTTAAAAGAAAAAGAGAAGGAAAAGGAGAGGTGTCTTACAGAAAGAATTTGAATTTAGAAGCGATCTTCAAGGGACACTGTATGTGGGGACTGGTGAGAGTGAAAGAATATTTGCTAAACAAATACGCAGAAAAGCTCAGCACTTAACTGGAACAGTTCCCTCTAGGTGTGTGTGGTTTTGACATTTTTTATGTATTTACTTTTTGCACACAGGCGCGCTTGTTAAGTGAAAATTGACGATAGCTCCAAGACTATTTGAATCCAGTCTGCATGCTATGGAGACACCAGTCAACTGGCAGACTTCCAACAATCACCTTTTACAGCATTAAATAAACAAAGGCGCCACAGAGAGATTTCACAAGGACTTACAATACCATGGGCCAGCCTAGAGAAACACTCCAGCATGCAGCTCAAGTGAGGAAAATGGAAAGTAGCATTATATATGTTATGACTGGGCCAGAGGTTTTTTTCTCTTTCCTATATTTAAAAATATCCATTTACATCAGAGGTGAGACGCTTCCTCTAAATGAATACAACTTTCCTTTGTTTTTTTTTTTCTTTTTTTTTTTAAATCAAGGTCAATGAAGTACAAAAGCTCTTTGTCTTAAATTGCAAGAACTATGTAATGTCTTCATTTGATTCTTTTGAGTACACAGAATGTCTTCTACATTTAGCTAATAATTTTACCCAATACATTTTTTAAAAAACCCAACATAGATTCTTTGGTCCAATAGGAAGTCTGTAGATACTCTGGTCTGTAGTCTGAGTGGTAGGGGCGGGAGAGATGAAGGAAGAGAAAGACAGCAAAAGACCAAGAGCCAGGTGCAGCCAGATGCCCCCGGGAAGGCAAGGCTCAAAGATGGTCGAAGGTAACGGAGGGCGGGCACAGCCCATCTTCCATGATCGACAACCTCCCAGCTTCTGGCCAACATGCCTAAAGCCTTGCACGGCCACGTGATCTCTGCTGCCAGGTCCGGGTTCTCACTCTCCTGGTACTGTCCTGACCGTGCCCAGGGGGCAGCACCCCTGACTTTGGAAATGGTGACCCCGTTCAGTTCTGGGAGAGAACCTGAGTCTTGGCTCCTCAGAGGCAGAGCGGGTGAGCACGGCGCTTGTCATGACCCTGCAGCACCACACAGAAGCCATGGAAGGTGGACCCACTGCGGGAATCCAATAATTCAACCCTGACAACTGAGTGTGCTCCTACTATGTGGCGGGGGTGGGGGGGGGTGTTGGAAAGTTTGTATGAAAGGGGATTAAGAGATTAAAAAATAAAAAAACCTCAAACTTGGTTTCTCAACACGAGCTCTGTCAAGTTCAAGATCGTTTTGGTAAACTTGTCCCCAAAGAACTGAGCACTCTGGGAACTTACCCGTCAGTGTGGTCCTTTTTACTTTATTAACTGAAGAAAAACAATGGTTTTTGTTTTAAAGATATTTTCAGATTAGGAAACAAAAAGATCAGAAGGAGCCGAATCAGGACGTCCAGGTGCGCTGCGGTGGACACAACACTACCAGATGTGTACAGAATTACAGCAAACACAATCCAGAGACGTTAAAAAAAAATCAAGCTAATCAGAGGGACACAAACTCGTGCAGCACATGTGTGACTGTGAGCAGCAGCTCATGTAGAATCCACACTCCAGAGGGGCTCAGGGGCCCTGGGCTGCAGTGCCGGCTTCGCCGCTGGAGCAAGTCCACCAGCAGCTTCATTCGGCAAATGTTACCTGAACTTCACCACCTATGTGCAACAGTGCAAGGTGCTGGGGACACAAGACGAGGGGACCAGGCCCCGACCCCAAGGAGCCTGCTGCAGGGACTCTGAGTCATGCTACTGCTAAAGGAAGGGACTGATACAGGGCTTTCAAAGCACAGAGGTGAGCACAGTGGTTCCCAGAAGACACTGGGGTGAGGCCCAAGAACGTCAGCAGAAGTGACATCAGAATCAAAATAGGGGCCATGGCTCCCCAGAGGCCTGCCTGAGCCCCTCGCTTGGCATCAGCTCCCATGGACGCGCACATAAAGGCAGGTTCCCAGGCCTGCCCTAGAGCACCTGGCTCCGTGGCCAAGGAATCGTCCCCTCCTGGCCACAGCCCTCAGCCCCCAGGCTGAGGAGTGCCCGCTCCAGCACTGGCTAGGCCCTGCTCCAAGGTTCTGTGAAGTCCCTGCAGAACGAGGGCCAGACGGCCCTTTCATGGTATCTCATTTCTAAGTGCACACAGCCACCCCCAGGTCCTAACACGACCCGGGAGCCAGCAGTTCAGAAGCAAGGACACTGATTTACAGACAGACCCCGAAGAGATGGCAGGTGTGACTCCATCTGTCTCCTCGGCTTTAACTCCATCTTCCCAGGGAAACCTTTCACCGGAAAGATTCAGACAGACCTGGTTATGGGCCAATGCTTATTCATAAAAGTACGTTGTGTGGCTCTCTCTTCTGTCTGAAATCCAACATCCGAGTGATTTGGAGCAAATAGATGGTAGGGGGTGGGGAGGGGAGGGAGTGCTCTGAGCCAAGTTGCAGCAGCAAATGCTTCCTGGGCAGTTTATAAACTCTGAGAAATCCCTCTGGCAAGTGCAGTGGAAATATTATCCCTCGAGCTTCGCACTTCCTGAGTGAACTTTGGAATGTGCAATGTAAAATCTTCAAACTGCAAGGAAGCCTTCCATCCTCAACTTTCGTGAAATCAACGGATTTGGCACTTATCTATCTGATTTTTTTTTAAGGCAGTTCAGGAAAAAGCTGAGTAAAATATGCATTTCCAACTCGGCATGGTACGAGTTTCCTCGTTCTCTTAACATTTTGCTTTATCTCATGTTTCAAAATTAGTTGAAAAAGATTCTATTTAGGGATCAAAGACATGGTGTTAGAGGAATAATCATTTCTAATTGTTATTAGAATCGAGTCAAAGTCATTGAGAGAAGTCATTCTCTAGAAGGCTTTGAGTGGGACACAAAGAGATGCAGAGACCTGGGGGTCTCCAACTCCTCTTTTATACAATACTGGAGGCCTGGGGCAGCAGTAGGCATCAACAGACCCGAATGCAAGCTTGACCACGGATGACTGGGACCGGACACCTGTAGGGAAAGGGAGGACCCAGCCTCTCCCCTGTTTCCCTTCCCCCGAGGAGTCCTTGCCCGTCCTTTACCAAAAGGAATCCACTGCATTGATGGAGCAGTACAGCTGGCCCTACAAAGTTCTAACCACTGGACTCAATGGCTACAGCAGTAACACATTGTTGGCTACTACTGTCCCGAGGGGTTTGTTTAGGGGAATTCTAATTCTGGGTAGGGAAATTTCAGGCCTGGGGCAGAAAGTAATTACCATGTACAGGTAACCCCCCCGGACCAAATGGAGCCCACTGGCCATCAAAAATCCCTTAAAGAGCACAGCATCACTGACCAATCAAAGGAAAGTCATGAGCACCACTGACCAATCAGCAACTTGGACACAAGCTGCTCATGCACCTCTCAGCCCTGATTTCAATATATACACAACAAGACCCTTCACCCCTCGTTCCCCGGGGAGCCAGGAAATTATGCAGCAGCTGCCAGCTCCTTGCTCTGCAATGAGCACCTCCTTCCTTCCCCCGTCCTAATGTCAGCGACTGGCTTTCTGCGGGTTGGGCGAGGGGACCCAGGTTTGGGGGTTCCATAGCCTCCAAGTAGTTTGGGGGTTATTCAGCAACACCCTTGCACAAGTTCCTTCACCTATCTCAGTGTTGTCCAATGTCACACGGGACTGGTAACGTTAGCGGCAGGTACACACGTGGTCGATGGGAGGTCTTGGGACAAAGCACAAGCCTGGGGCTGTAAATACTTGAAGACTCTGTGTCTCTGGTTGAACATCCATGTCAGGGTCGCCGTGTCCCAGTAGGTGGCAGGTTGCATCTTTTCCCCAGCTCTCTCACTCCTCTCTCCCTACTTGTCCCAGTGCCTGGATGATTCTAATTCACTGCCTTCTAAATCTGCTTGGTTCTCTGACTTAACAGATGGCCTAAGGCAGTGAATGGAGAGGCTGACCGGAACAGCACTCATCCTACTGGTCTACTAAAGTGCTAGAGCTGACTCTCTTTGAAATGTCTAAAATCACGCATCCATTAACCAAGTTCCATGGCAGGGTAAGATCGTGGGTTAGCAGCTAAGGACAGGAATGGAACGAAGACAAGGGAGAAACCGTGGCGTCTCAGGGGCAGAGCCCAGGCCCCAGAAGCAACACCTGCTGCACAGCTACCCAGCACATGTGGCTTGGGAGTTCTGTTCTTGGACCAGGAACACAACAGCTGCCTTCTCTGATCGGCAGTCTTGGGAGGACCCAATGAAATGAGGTCTGGGAAAGCCACAATAGCCAGCAGGAGTGGCAAGGGGCTGGGCGGGGGCTGCATGAGGGGAACCCAGAGCTCCAGGAGGGGAAGAGAGAGGGTGAGCCTCTCTATGAGCCTAGGACGCGGCTCTGAGTGGTGGACGGGACGGGTGTCGAGGGGAAGAATGGGCAGCAGTGGGCACCAGGAGGAGGCCCAGAGGCTGGAGAGGAAGTCGCCCCTGGACCCTTGGACCCACACCAGCTGCCCTGTTGTGCTGCCTTCTTTCCAATACTTGCTACAGACCACAGGGAAGCAGACAGGAGCTGCAGAGGTCTCAGGGCATCCTCTCTGGATCCCACCCAACCTGTGTCGACCTCAGCACATGGACTTTAAGGATTTCACTTCCCCCCAGTACAGAGGACATGAGACTCATGGAACACACCGGAACACTCAGGCCGTGTCTCAGGGCTGGTCTGACCGCCTCACCTCCGGGACAATGAGGCTGAGGACACAAATCCCGGAGAGCCGAGCAAGAGGAACTCTGGGCTGGAACTCTAGGATTCCAGGGCTGTGAGTTCTGTGCCTCAGTTTCCTTGTCTGTCACTCACGGCTGCAGCTGATCCCTCCCTGCCCTGGCACTGTCTGGGAAGTCAGGCATTGCTGCAGATGGTTAAAGGATTCAGGTAGGGAGAAAGAGATCCTGCCAGAGATGTGTAGGTGGGGAAGGTGGAGCACGGCTGAGCCTTGGTGAGCGCAGGGGCTGGTCCTGGCTGGCTCCAGTTCTAAGAGTCCTCCCTAGGGCACAGGGAGGAATCCCGGATGCATTGGGCTGTGATAGGCAGTGGAAGCCCCTTCAGGCCCAGCTCCTGGAGGGCTGAGGTTACGCTGGTTCATCCTCATCCCCCAGCACACCTAACGCTAGGTGAATAAATAAGTTGGGAACTGGGCAGACGGTGGAGAATTATGCATCCATGAAAAGCTACCTAAATTGCCTGGGGGTAGGCAGGGCTAGCCTGTGTGGCTCAACAGTGCTAAGCCTGTGCGTGATGAGCAGGGCAAAGCACTGACCAACCGAGGCCCCCCCCCCCCCCCAGCTGCAGTGTAGCTCGCCCCACCCATCACTTCCATGAGGGCGAATCAGAGGACTGGGCTGGGTGAATGAGATGTGGGGGCCTGGGGACAGCAGGAGTGTGACTAGGACACAGGTCTCACCAGCCCCCCACCCCCACCCCAGGAGAACCCAGGAACACCCAAAATCAAAGATTCAGGACACAAGACGCCATCCGCTTCAGAAGACACGCAGGGTGATGACAAATGTAAACAGAGAGGAAGCTCCCAGGTAAGAGGTGCACAGCAAATGCCCAGTGTGTGCTCCAAGTTCAAGAATACGGGCTCGTTTCATGGAGCAGACCAGGCTAGGACCAAGGTAGAAATGCCTGGGTGTCCGGGACAGAACCACTGCTCTCCAAACAAGAGAGACCTTTTCCAACTGTAATTCCTGTGACTGTCTGGTTATCAGAACTCACAAAGCCTCGTTGCTGGACTCTCCCTATTAATAAATACCACAGTGGCACTGTTAAAGGGCTCAATTCTTTGTTTACACATCCAGACCTTCCTTTCTCAGGGACAGTAGAAAAATATGCTGCTAATTATTTCTAAAATAGTGTCACTTCTGCTAAATCAACAGATTTTTTAAAAATAGAAATTACACATTTAAGGGCTCTCGAGGGTCATCCTTGCAGACATCATCTCCCTACTCACAGAGGAACCCAGGGCTCACAGGCTGTGCAGCAATTAGAACATGGCTGAGTGTAAATATTTCATGTAGCCAGCACCACGCAGTGGCACCTGCAGAGTGAAATACCACATCACGGAGCCCCAGGGAGACCTAACCACTTCTCATTAATCAGCCCCTCCTGCTCTCTGAACCTGGAACGGTGTTTCAAGACACACAAAGTCATTAAAAAATGAAAACACCCCTGGAAGATGGATACTAACACTGCTTACTGGGAGGAGGAAGCACTACTGGGACTGCAAATGCAACATGCACGTAACCAAAACGCTTACCTCCATGACCTGCTGGGGCAGGAGCAGCTGTCTAGAGAAACCACAAGTTACATTCACTCAGTACTACGCCAGGAGGGAGGCCCTGGGGTTTTACCTCGTTCTCTGGGGTGGGAGATGGCGTTACAGAACTAAGAGAGCCTTTGCGTGAGCCCTGAAGGTCGGCTGGCACAGAGACAGGCCGCTCCCACTGCGTGGTTCCTGTGGGGATGTGCCAGTAGTAGGTCCCAGCGATGTCATTGATTCTCTTCCAGCCGGGCGGTAAATCCGGGTCGGTCTGAAACGAGTGGTCACTCCATATATCTGCTGGGAAATGGAAAAATGAAAGAGGGTTTTATTGTAAGACAACAAGAGCCTTCTGACTTCAGTCCCCCTGGTCGGGTGAACTCCATGGGCAGACGCATCCCTAGGCCAAAGGACTAGAGAAGACAGGTTGATGCCTGAGAATAAGGGCGTAAAGGCCTCGTTATCACATCTTCCTACAGCTTCAAGAAACCTGTGGACAAGGTGAGCGCCATTAAGAACACACAACTATGCAAGCAAAATGCATGTTCCACACAGAATCTACTTGATCTCTGTCAATCAGTAAGCAAGCAAAATGCACATTCCACGCAGAATCCACTCGATCTCTTTGTCAGTCGGTAAGCTAGTAAAATGCATGTTCCACGCAGAATCCACTCGATCTCTTTGGATGGTGTTACACAGCACTCCCTGTCTCCCTGTGAGTGTAACTCTTGGCTTACCTGCTTTCTGTATGTGAGTAACATTTACATCTTTCACACATTTTAACAATGTTTCCCATTCAATTGTAAACATCAACAAAGTAGCAGTGTCCTTTGTAACACTCCAGAATTCCAACTTGCATTCAAGATTTTCAAGAAAAGTATACAAGAAAACCCTTGGATTTCAACCCTAAAGACAGGCCAGTAATATAAACACGTGAAAGGTGTGAGAGAGAATAGAGAATGGTGGGGACGGTGGCAAATGGGAGAACACCTAGAACTACAAAGTCAAAGAATAATTTTTTAAATGCTGAGGTGGTCAAATAAAACACATCCACAGCACTGCGCCAGCCACATCTGCCCTGTACCAGTATCTTGTCTGTTTGCTGAGTAACTATTTGCTTTTGCAAATTTCATTCTTGGTCGTTGAACTGGATGCGCAATGGATGAACGTGCTGGACCCGAGAGAAGAGAGGAAGCAGAAGAAGGAGTTCGAGTGATGGAGGCCTAAGGGAGGATCCAGCACAGCAGGGCAGATGGAGCTCCAACCTGATGGTCACTGCACTCTAAGCATCAGGGCCTCTTCTATGTGGGTACACACAAGAGGCCAGAGGGCTCTTCTGCAATTCAAGTCGGACTGTGCAGGCCTTGCTTTGAGCAAAGACCATGACGTCATGCTATCACTGAGGCCGTTAGAGCCCCAACAAGGAAAAGAGAAACCAAAGAGAGAAGCCAGCAAGAACTGCAGCACAGTGGCGCACTCACCTTCCTCATTCACGTCCGCCAGAGACAAAACTGCACCTGTCTCAGACTGTGCCGGAAACCCCCTCTCCCGCACAGGAAATGAGGCATGATTATGCAATTCCAACTTAACCCACATCTGCAGAAACAACTGGGATCCAGCTGGACACAACCTTAGCTGGTAGGCTCCCTCCGTCCATGCAGGTGGCTCCTAGACAAGAAGCTCTGGGGTTAGAAGCTTAAAGGGTACAAAGAGGCTGCCGGTCACCATTATGGGTACCTGTGTTTCCCACTGTCTTCCACCAGGGCATTGCACATAAGAACAGCTACAGACACTAGTGGAATAGAAAGTCATATCAGACCAGGGGTATAGAACCCGGTCAGTGGCTCGAAGGCAGCAGCAGGAAAGAGCCTTTGCCCTAGACAGCAGGAACTGGGCTGTTCTACCTCTAACCAAACCCACCTCATTTTTATCTAGTTTATCTTCCAAATTTGTGCTGCTACTTTATTGGAATAAAATGAAAGCAGGGGTTTGCTCTGTTGTTAAAAATAGGAAGACAGGGGCAGTGCTGTGGCACAGCGGGTTAACACCCTTGCCTGAAGCGCCGGCATCCCATAAGGGTGCCAGTTCAAGACCTGGCTGCTCCACTTCTGATTCAACTCTCTGCTATGGCCTGGGAAAGTAATGGAAGATGGCCTGGGTCCTTAGGCCCCTGCACCTGCGTGGGAGACCTGGAGAAAGCTCCTGGTTCCTGGCTTCGGATTGGTGCAGCTCTGGCCGCTGCAGCCAATTGGGGAATGAAACTGCGGATGGAAGACCTCTGTCTCTCTCTCTGCCTCCCCTTTCTCTGTGTGGCTTTGGCTTTCAAATAAACAAATATATCTTTAAAAAAAAACAGGAAGACCATGATGATGGAAGAAGGGTAGCGGCCACATCTTCAATATTATGAACAGTTCCAGAATCACTTTTAGAACCACTTATAGAACCCTTCCACTTCACCTCCCACTGGTTTACAGGAAGGAAGACCTGTGAGCCCAGGCAGCCTTCATGTCTGCCTCATTCTTCATCATATTCCCAACTCCTCACACAGCAGGTGCTCAGTAACACCTGATGGATGGACACAGGGACATGTTCAGTAGAGATGCATTTAAAAAAAAATTATTGTTGACTGGCTGGTGGCTGAACTCACAGATGTGGAACCTGCTGGTTGGTTGATGGTATTTCTTTCCATCCATGCAGACATTCATCCACACTATCAAGGAAAGTATACGTTGGTCCCAGAGAAATGCGAGCAGTCCTGATTCACGGTGTTGCACAGAACTGAGTTTTTTAAAGAAGTCCTCCTTTGCTAAGCGCCATGTTTCAATTCCCACCTTTGGAAGACCCAGTTCATTCATTCACTTCTCCTGGTTTATTCATTCTGCTTTCCTCCCTGCCTCTCCCACCCCACCCCTCCCTCCCTCCCTTTCTTCCTTCATCACTGGGACACCTATATCCCATATCAGAGTGCTGGTTTCAGTCCCAGTTTTGATCCAGTTCCCTGCTAATGCACCTGGGAAAGCAGCAAAAGATGGCCCAAGTACATAGGACCCTGCCACCCATGTGAAAAACCAGGATGGAGTTCTTAGCTCCTGGTTTTGGCCTGGCCCAGCCCTGGTTATTGTGGGTATTTGGGGAATGAAACAGCAGATAGAAAATCTCTGTCTCTGTGTCACCCTGCCTTTCAAATAAATACATAAATCCCTTTAAAACAAAAAAACAGGATGAGGAATGCCTGAGAACGGGAGAGTGGTGGTAGGATCAGAGAGTGTGTGTCAAGGGTTCTACGTTAGAAATGCTTGATTTCTTCACTTAGCTGGTGGTGACACAGACATTCTCTTTAAAATGAGGTCTTAAATTGCACATTTACATTCTTGAGTGTTTCTGTATTTTGTTTTTCACAGCTTAAAGAAATGCTTCAGTGGAATCTTGAGATCAAAACTTCCCATTGTTTTCTAAAAAGAGACAGCACAGAAAGGGGGTCAGGACAAGGCTTCCTCAACACCTGCAGACACAATCCAAACAAGAAGAAGGGATTCACTCAGGACTTCTGGTGGCGCCAGTGCAGAGGGGAGTAATGGCATCACTCAGCCCGGCCTGGACAGCGGACGTGTGGCCTCCCTGCATGGGTGACCTCAGTCAAGTCCCCCAGTTGTTTTGGGCTTCAGATGCTTATCTGGAAAACAAGGATGCTAACAGTACCCACCTGGGTACCGTGAAAAGTACCCTGTGAAAAGTCCATATGGACAGCTTGGGGGAGAGCTGAAGATGAATAAAGAGAAAACAGTCAACTAAATGGAATAAATACAAAACAGTGGCTGTTAGGCCGAGACTGTGAGACTGTGAGACGAGCAGCCGACCCGAGCCAGTCAAACCAGCGAGTGACGGCTCCAAGACAGCTCCCAAGGAGACTGGTCCTGAGCACAGGTGCCCACGTGAGGCAGGGTCTCCCTTCACAGGCTTTTCTCCCAGTTCTGCACCAGTGAATCCAGGCGGGCCCAAAGCTGGTGCATCCAAGAAATCCCCCAGCAGATGCCAGAGAGATCCGGTCCCACCCACAGGCAAGCCCAAACACTGGGTTCCTCCTTGCCCTCTCCAAGCAGGGTCCTGCGCCGGAGTTGTCCCCGGTCTGTAGCCACCGCTGCCTGCTGCTGAAGGCACCTGCACGTGTGGACACGGATGCGAATGTGCCAGCGCTGGGAGTTAAAGCCACAGGTGTTCATGCCCAGGGGATCTGCAGCCCCTGGCTGTTTGTGTTTTTTGTTCTTTTGGGATGAAACAGGAAGCAGGGCCTGAAGTCAGAGAGTAAAAATAGCCAGGCGGAAAGCCCCACAGACGCCTGTGCTGGACGCCTCTTGGGCCAAGAGCAACACTTGGCGTGGGAACAAGGAGCCCATCTGTGAGCAGCAAGCGAGCCACCCCCGGGGCCAGAGCGCAGCGCCGGGCTCCACCCTGGCTTCTTTGCAAGGGACTAGCTCCTAGGCAGGGCTGGCGTGCCAGGCAGGAGGCCTCCAGTCACCCCGTCCCCAGGCTCTCAGGCAGGAACCCCAGGGCCAAAGGCAAACACACGAGCACTTGCCCAGGCTGGAGCTTTCTCTGCTGAGGGCAGAGGTAGGAGGAATGGGGAGTTGGGATCCTGCTTCTGCAAAGTCTGTACCATGGAGTGCGACAGATTTCCCTGAGGGCAATGCACTCGCTTCGTTCCTTAGCACTGTGTGCCCTGTGCTTTGGGTGTGGCAGCAGGGGCTGAGAGGAAAGAGGGAAGGCGGGTGACTTCATGCGACAGGTGGTCTGCTCTGGGCGGGGAATGGTCTCTGAGCAGGGGGTGCGGAGAGCATCGCCGCAGACGGGGTCCTGCACGGTGGCGCAGACGGTGGTTCTGAAGCACGGCGGTCACCCGTGGGCCTGTGACAACACAGCTGGCTCGGCAGGCCTGGGGCGGGCCAGGTGTCTGTATTTCTAGGAGGCCCGAGGCATTCTGGTTTCTGGCCTAGGGATGCAAACTCCATCTAACCGCCAGCCCCGCTGAATAAAAGGTCTGCAGTGAACAGATGCTCTCTGGCTTCCGGAGGACCATGTCCTGAGCAGTCCACCATAAACTGAACGTAGCAGAGTGAGGCCGAAGTGGAGCTGCCGCACCCGGTGTCCACATCACAGCCCAGCAACGGGGCTGACTATGAGCTGTGGCTCACGCCGCTGCTCAGGACCCTAAGAGATGATGGTTCTGTGACTCCCTAGCCTGGGGAAAAGCTCACAGCTCAAGATTCAAAGGTTAGGCGCCGGCACTGTGGCACAGCGGG